GTAGGGCATGTGTGCTCTCTAGAAAGACAGAGAGACAGAGACAGAAAGCAAGAAATCACACCCCCCTCTCCCCCAGGGAATAACCATGCTACAATCCCTTCTCCTCCATTCTCCTCTCAGGATCTTGGGCATGCACGCACACGTGCCTGGTGTGAGTTTAAGCCACCAGGTCCAGGACTTGAACTGCAGTTGACTATATGGGAGTACAGCAATACAGCCATTACACCAACTGTTGGTCCCTGAATCTATAATTATTCTCTAGTGTAAATTTAATGTGACCTAGATTCTTCAAGATCTGAGAAAACATTTTTAAACATGATTAGTTATGTTAACTAGCTCAACCTTTATGAAGGGCAATTCAGTAACATGTCAATGTTTAAAATAAATGTACTTTTCTTTTTTTTTTTTTTCGCCATAGGGCACATGCCCCAGAGAAAGAGAGAGGGAAAATGAGAAATCATTCCCTAAGGGGGGTGGTCATGCAACAATCCCTTCTCCTCTATTCTCATCTCAGGATCTTGAGCATGCATGCACATGAACTGGGTGTAACTCTCAAGCTGTAGTCCAGGACTCAGACCACGCTTGGTCACCTGGCAGTCTAGCATCCCAACCACCTTGCCACCTGTTGGCCCTAAATGTACCATTTTAAAAACAAGTTTTTGAGAGTTTAAAAAGTTTTTAAAATTTACATGGATAAAATTAACCCATTATAAGCATACGATATCAGCGTTTTTTTTTAGTAGTTGACTTATATAATCATCACCACAAGAAGTAGCTTAAATAGACACATAATATCTGCATGGTGTAATATTTCAAAATTTGTATACAGTATATGATGCTCAAATCAGGGTGTTTAGCATAACCATCACCTCAAACATTTATCATTTGTACAAGAATATTTAAAATTCTTTTTGTATTTTGAAATATGATATAATATTGTTTACTATAGTCACTCTACTATACAATAGAGCACAAGAGTTTATTTCTCCTACCTAATTGTTATTTCGTGCACGAGCTTTTCCCATCCTCTCTTCCTCCTTATCTCTCCCAGTTTCTGGTAGCCATTCTTCTACTTTCCTGTCCTATGAGATCAACATTTTTAAAAAAGATTTATTTGTTTCTTTAATATTATTTGTTATTATTATTTTTCACTGTGACTAGAGAAAGAGAAAGTGAGAAAGCAAGCCACCAGGTCTGGGACTCAAACTGTGGTTGTCTATGTGGGAGTCCAACACCCCAACCACTATACTACCTGCTGGCTCAAGATCAGCATTTTGATTCCTCATGAATGAGATCATACAGTATTTGCCTTTCTGTGCCTCACTTCTTTTACATAGCATAATGTCTCTTAGGTCCACCCACTTTGCCTCAAATGACAGGACTTTATTCCATTATGTATATATGTCACATTTACTTATCCATTCATCCATCGATGGATATTTAGGTTGATTCCAGATCTTGGCTATTGTGAAAAGTGCTCCAATTAACATAGAAGTGCAGATATATTTCGACATGCTGATTTAATTACTTTTTGATGTATTCCCAGTAGTGGGATTACTAGATCATATGGTGGTTCTAGCTTCTACGTGTGCCAGAGAGAGAGGGAAATGAGAAATCACCCCAAGGGGGATGGGCAGAAAGAGAGGGAAATTTTTTTTCTTCCATCCTCCTTTCAGTATTGGATATTTTCCCAAGGCACTGGGTCTGGGACTTGAACCACACAGTTGACTGCCAATGTATTCCCAGTAGTGGGATTACTAGATCATATGGTGGTTCTAGCTTCTACGTGTGCCAGAGAGAGAGGGAAATGAGAAATCACCCCAAGGGGGATGGGCAGAAAGAGAGGGAAATTTTTTTTCTTCCATCCTCCTTTCAGTATTGGATATTTTCCCAAGGCACTGGGTCTGGGACTTGAACCACACAGCTGACTGCCGGATGATTCTGCTGAACACGTCTTTCTGAGTGGGGAAAGCTGTGGATTAGGAATAAACATAAACACACAAAGACACACAAGTGTAGAAAAGCGAGGATAAGGTGGGCCCAACTTCTCTGATGGAGAAAGTTGCGACCAGGAACCAGCCTCAGGTTTATTCTTTTAAAGGGTAGAAGATGGGGAAGAGGAAATAGAATGCAAAGCTAA